ATCTCAACTAAGGACTATGTTCTAGGTTTCTGAATATTGAATTTAGCATTAATTGTTGACAGAACTTTTAATTTTATTTTTCATAATTTTTATCAAACTTTTGTTCAGTTGATGATCATTTACACGTTTGGTTCACTAGTTGGCTAGTCTTTATTATGTTGAATGTCTTTTCCTAGCTTTTGGGAAGTTTGAGGGAATGAGATTTGGCATGTATCTTCCTTAGATATGAAAGTTTAAAGGAGCAAGTTGTAATGAATATATATTTTGGGCTTTCACTATCTGATTTCTGGTGAATTAGCTGATCATTTTGTCTTTTGTAATTGTTTTGGTTCTTGTCAGGTCTTTGCTATTCAAATGTTGAGGGCAAGAAGGCCAGATCACCATCTGTTATTGTTATAGGTGCTGGAATGGCAGGAATTGCCGCTGCACGTGCTCTTCATTATGCCTCATTTCGGGTACCTAATTAAGTTTAATGTACTCAATATTAATGTATATGTGTAAATTTGCTTTATTTCTTAACCTGACAAGTTCATGTATTTATGGTCAGGTGGTCTTGTTAGAATCTCGAGATAGAATTGGAGGTCGAGTTCACACTGATTACTCATTTGGTTTTCCTGTTGACCTTGGTGCATCATGGTAATGTTTTCACTTTATCCACTGTGTTGAGTTTGCATCAAATTATTAGTGTTGAAGAGTATTATTTTCTACTTTTGATCAAATCATTGTTGAAGTCTTTTTTATCAACATTATTGATGTTTCAGGTTGCATGGGGTCTCCAAAGAAAATCCCTTGGCACCATTGATAAGTAGATTGGGACTACCCTTGTATCGTACTAGTGGTGATAACTCTGTGTTATATGATCATGATTTGGAAAGGTGAGGACATACAATCATCTTGGTTGTTATTTCTTTTGATCTTTTGATTTCATATGTTGGACTGGCTTTCATTACTAAAGATAAAAGCGATTTAAATTTATTGGGATAAAAGATGACCATTTCGTATGAGATGCTTATGTCCCATGGAATGTTCAAATTCTTCTAAGTTATTTCTAGCTTGATAATCTGTGTAATGGATGGTTTTGGTGAGCGTTTTGACAGCTATGCACTATTTGATATGGATGGGAATCAAGTTCCTCAAGAGTTGGTAGCCAAGGTTGGAGAATTATTTGAAAGCATTTTGAAGGAGGTAAATATTGTTATTCAATACAATTTTTTGGTCCAGTAATTACAATGTTTTTCCTAGAATTGTTACTATGGTAATGCCCATTATTTCCTACATGTTGAGTTGCATGTCTTTTACTTTGATTGCAGACAGATAAAGTGAGGCAAGAATATAGTGAAGACATGTCCATTCGCTGTGCTTTCTCAATTGTTTTTGAGAGGAGACCGGATTTAAGGTTTGACCTAACATATATATATCCGTGATTTTAAATGCTTCTTTTGGTTTGTTTTTTAGATTAAAAAACTTGTTATTCTTTTGGCTCACCAAAGTCAATATTTTATTTATTTTATTTTATTTTTGTAACCTTCAGATTGGAAGGACTTGCCCAGAAGGTACTTCAGTGGTACCTATGCAGAATGGAAGGTTGGTTTGCTGCAGATGCTGATACAATCTCACTTAAATGCTGGGATCAGGTTTGTCTTTATTCATCATTAATTTGAGACAACTACTGTGTCTATGCTTCATTATCCGGTTGTGAATGGTTTAACTATGAACCTTAGTATTGATGTGTCTTCACAGGCTGATGATAGAATGATCTATGTTCAAGTATGGACTTATTTCACTAATGGGCTGAATTTAATGTTGGCAATTAATCCCCAAATTGTTGTTGCTTCTTATAACTGGAACAGAATTTGGTGTAGAATGTTATCTGCATTGCTGAATCTCTATATTCCATGCATACCATTAAAAAAGGGAAACTTTCATATATGTCCAATCATCTGGAAAGTTCTCAAATCTTATAATCGAAGTAAAATTTCAGAAGGCATTTGATAATTAACTGTAAACAAACTTAATACTCCTCTTGTATGATTATGCTGGATAGTACTAGCAAAAGTGCTTATAACATATAAAATTTATAAAATTTACATTTGTATGTCATCAGTTAATTTCCCATTACTTTCTTGCTGCTATTTTTTGCAAATATTCTCAGCACGTTCACAGTTTTCAGACTGACACAAATTTGCAGCAATACATGAACTTCTAATTGCTTTTATTTCACTCTATATACAGGAAGAGCTGTTACCTGGTGGTCATGGCCTTATGGTCAGAGGCTATCTTCCTGTTATAAACACCCTTGCCAAAGGTCTTGACATCCGCTTGAACCACAGGTAAATTTCTTGAATATTTGATTCACCAATTTTTTAGTCATGTAAACTCTATTCTGACAATGATTATTTAAGTCCTGGTTTTCCTAGCCTCATAGTGAATTTTCTCATCAGGGTTATAAAAATTGTAAGACGCTTACATGGAGTGAAGGTTACAGTTGAAGATGGAACTACATTTGCAGCAGATGCTGCTATCATTGCTCTCCCTCTAGGTGTACTAAAGTCTGGAACCATCAAGTTCGAGCCAAAGCTCCCAGATTGGAAGGAGTCAGCCATTGATGACTTTGGAGTGGGGGTTGAGAACAAAATAATTTTGCACTTTGACAAGGTGTTTTGGCCGAATGTAGAGTTTTTGGGAGTAGTTGCGGACACAACTTATGAGTGCAGCTACTTCCTAAACCTTCACAAGGCCACAGGTCGTTCTGTCCTTGTTTACATGCCTGCTGGGCAGCTGGCTCGAGACATTGAGAAAATGTCTGATGAGGCTGCTGCAAATTTTGCCTTTATGCAACTCAAGAAGATCCTTCCAGAAGCTTCTGCCCCGGTAAGCATGGATTGAAAAAATGATGTTAAGGTTATTTGCTGATAAAGGATTTATGACTGTCTATTTTCAACCATGGCATGTTTCTAGAATTAGGAGTTTTCAGGTCAAGACACAAAAGCATTAAAGTAATTTCTGTCAACAATTAACATGTATTGGAATTATGAGATGCTGGACTTTGTCTTAGGTGTCCACCAGTACTAGTTTGGTTTTCAGCGAATACTAAATAAATTTTCTTGTTTATGCAGATCCAATATCTTGTTTCTCATTGGGGCACAGACATTAATACACTTGGCTCCTATACCTTTGATTTAGTAGGGAAACCCCATGATCTGTATGAGAGACTAAGGATTCCAGTGGATAACCTATTCTTTGCTGGGGAGGCAACAAGCAGCGACTACCCAGGATCTGTTCATGGTGCATATTCTAGTGGACTGATGGCAGCTGAAGACTGCAGGATGCGTGTACTGGAACGTTACGGAGAGCTGGACTTGTTCCAGCCAGTAATGGGGGAGGAAGGACTGTCGTCAGTCCCTCTTTTAATCTCCCGTATGTAACTTCTAGGCTGAAATCCTCTATAAGTGGAAATAAATCTATATATTTGAAGAAATGTGACATGGGATGTGACTGCATAGTTCCCAATTGAATTGGCCTTTGGATTAACTGGTCAAAGCATTTGGTGGATGTGAATGGTCCTCCAGTGTGGCATGGCAACAGGTATTAAACTTGAATAAATTATTTGAATCTAGCTTTGTTGTGAGGAACAGGTGGAGGTGTTAGGTGTGCACTTCCATAAGTGTGTGGATGATGTTTTTAATGTGAGTTTTATGTGCCTCCACTTTATGAGTGCGAAAGACACTAATAGTTGGCAAATAAAATTGTCTGTGAACTTTGGCGTTAGATCGTCTTCTCTGCTTTTGTCTAAATTGAACTTGTGTTATTATATTATCAAAACTGGCTTTTTCTTTCTTAAGAAATGATAGTACTAATTTAGTCTTGCGTTTGGGATTGCTGTGAGAAATGATGGTACATAATTTAGCATGAGTTTAGTATTGTTGTAAAGTGTTGTGGTTGTACTGAATTATGTTGTGAATTATGTTGTGTTGTAGTTGTGATTGAAAATTATATTGGTATTTGGTTATTTATTTTTTAAAAGTATCATGGATGAAATATTGTAAATTTTATTAATTATTAATTAAAAATTTAAAAATATTATAAAATATATAATTATTAAAATAAATAATATTTATTACTTTTTAATAATTTAAGTTTTTTAA